AATAATGTATCTTAACATGCTTGACGGGAAAGACGAATATAACGAAAGTTAGAACTCGATATTCAATCACTGGTGAATATCACACAAAAAATATTTAACTACTTATCTCTAAACAAGTCAGTCAGTCAGTATCAACAACGTAGAACTTCGTACATACGTACATCAGTTCAAGTTACCATACCACATTAGCACATAGATACAATTGTCGATTCTTATCTCATAGTACTAGAGGTAGTAAACGGATAAACAGTAATCGGAAACATTAGGGTTCGAATATGTTATTCAAGCAGTATAATCCAGTATAATAAATTTGGAAAGAGAAAACAAATAGACATGAAAAATTCAGATTATTAGAACTTGAGAGAACACAAAGAGTGGATGCACCAGCACCATAGCAAACGATTTCGAGCCATGTCATTCAAAGTCTCTAATCATCGATTGCTATCGCCTCGCGGATTCCATCAAACTAGTCCCCACACCTACCAATATGGCTCAGTTCATTTGTTAATGACTTCATGGATTTGTGCCATATTTTGATGTGACCGCCCTTAGCTCTCTTAAAACTTACTCCTACAGCATAAAACATTGCACGTTAGGCATACGTAACACATGTATTAATCTTTCAAAAAGTGCAAAAATAACTGAAATTATTGGATATAACACATTTATTGAACATTAGAGGTGTTAAGGATAAACCAAGCATAGTGATTGAAGCACTGGACTTCCATGATAATTAAATTAGTAATACACTCTATCCAGCCTAACAATGACTAAATAGAGATACAACTAGGTTGTTCAAAGTTTAATAATTACAATAGTGGTGATAATAAAATTCTCTTAAACATGGTAACAGTGAGATAGAATAAACGAAAGCAGTGAAAACATTGATGTATGTCACTTATATCAACATAAGTAGTATAAAACGCTAGTCAGGAATAGACTATCAGGAAGCAGAAGGTCGAAAAGATCGAGGAGGAAAGAACGGGAACAGGAAGTAATTAATATCAAAATGCAGGAACAATCAAGTCTGAGACAATTAACGAACCTTCTGTAAATGAAGTATTTACTGTATGGTCCTCAGATTTAACTAAGATATCCTGTAGTTTTGTGTTCAAATACATTTGATTGTCCCTATTTGTGTTCTCGTTCACTAAAACGTTACTTTTATAAAAGAAAGTAATAATAATATTGTTGTTTGAGACCTTGAATATTCATCATGATGACAGATAAAGAAATTATAATTGGTAAGGGAAAGCTAAAAGTGATAAAATGTTGAAATTGTGATAAACTGTAATCAGAGGGATTATAGAAACTGAAACAAAATAGTTGAGTGTAAAGGATCTTGCCAAACTGCATCATGAGGCAAACCCTAACTTTGAATCTTGAAGGGAAATGGAAAAGAGGAAGGCCAAAGAATAAATTACATTGGAAAATAGAAGCAGATATGAAAAAGACGAATAACAATTGGAAAGAGCTGGAAAGTATTGCCCAGGACAGGGTTGAATGGATCCTGCTGGTGGGCGACCTATGCTCCCCCACGAGGAGTAACAGGCGTAAGTAAGTAAAGGATATGTAGAGAATATAGAAAGGAAAAGTTAGGGAAATAATAAGTATATAATTGAGATTATACTGCTTTGAAAATGAATTCATCGAAAAGTGAACTCTTCCCTGAACCAATCTTTCTTAGTTTATGACTCAGTGGGTATATTCTGTGTAAGATTATAAATGTATTAAGGTGATGTTCATTGACTTTTAACACAAACATTTGGACTGTATCGTATTGTCTAGCTGCTTGATTACATTGAAAAAGGGTTATTTTTTAGCCATCAGCGCTTATTTAACATAGAAATGAGCTGTTTAATTATACTACAAAGCAAGTAGTAAAGGATATAAAATGAATGATTTAGTTATTTGTGTTATTTTTACTGTTATAAATCTAATCAATAAGTAAGTATTACCAATATGATCAAATTTAAAATCAATACGAGTCAAGTACTTCAAAGCCTATCCAGAATGGATTACAATATACAGAACTAATTATATTGATTAAAAATCAATATAAGGTGTACTTAAAACATCGAGCTAAAAGATAATCTCTGTAAAAGTTTGATCTACACCATCCGATTACACAGTTAAAGACATTACAACGGAGCTGTTCCAACCGAGAGTGATCTGTAAGACTATGTTCCAAATAAACGTAGGGCTTAGTATGGAGCTCCTAATCGATTGTCTCCAACTACCTAATATCAAAGTCGGTAATGCATTAAGAAGACTCAAAAAAATCAATAAGATTTATATTACTTGACAAACAAAACAATTGTCATTTTGATTGAGATCATGAACCGACTGATGTTAGACCACCTTTGGAAACCTGGAAGCACTAGACGGCCGTTTCGTCCCATTGTGGGACTCTTCAGCAGTGTACATCTACGATCCCGCTCACGGGATTCGAACCCGGGGCCTTCAGTCTCGCGCGCGAATACTTAACCTATTGGACCACTTAGCCGGTATCCGATGGTGTTAATGTCTAACTTCAACCAATCCACGAAGTTGCGCGACCATCTTCCATTGTACTGTGGTAGACATCTGTTTCTACCCGACACGGATTAGCTCCACTGGTCACAATTATCGCCTAAAAAGTTCACATACTGTATATTACATTTATTAAACAATCAAGAATCTATGAAGTATTTGTAAAATCAGAAGTCATTTCATCCAATATATAAGTAAAACTACTATTCTTTCTTCAGGGAAAAAACATAATTAACCTGATTAATGTTATTTGAACAAATCGTTCACAATACAAATAATAACGATAAGGATGGTAGCACTAATTACTTCATTGGATACCATACGTTTATTTAAAGATGGGATTTTCAAAAATTTCAATACTTACATAACTACAGTTTGTAGTTCTCGAAACTAATTATCATCAATTAACATTATCAGTATTTCTGTCAAACTATTTAAGGACAAAGAATATAAGAGCGAATGAATGTTTTTTTTTGAAAGTTCATAACTAGTTCATGAATGGCAATTAACAGCAGTAGCAGTTAATATTCAAATCCATAGTGTGTGTTACATTCTATTCTGAACTCCTTATCTGAATGGTACCTGTATCCTAATGTTGATGTTTATATTTGAGACTCGAATCTAGGAACCTATTGCTTCAAACGCTAACACGTCATTTATCTGAATGAAGTCATATATTTTGTAGTATCTAGGCTGTAAAATTATGAAGTTCGAATATTTTTGAATTTCAAGTAAAACGTTTGACCAACATACCAAATTAACATTTACTATTTACGATTGATTGACTTAACGGTTTACTATTACTTTGAGAAGTGATCATTCCAGGTGAATTCTAGATAAAAATTGTTTAGGAATATTTGAGCTACTTACTAGTAACATAAATTGTGGTTTGGAATTTACTACTGCCGATGTTAAGTTGGGTAGTAAAACAAGTCGTAAATTAGAAGTTTGAATCGATTTTTTCCGGTCAAAATTCAGGTATGAATTTCTTTCATGTAGGTCACATTAATCAAATGGTGTCTATAAAAATAATCCGACCAACTCATATGGGATGATGTTTAGTAAAATGGTGTAGTTCAGGTGGATGATTTTGGTGGAGTTCCATGCTCTGAGCTGGATGATTTAATCGTAAAGCTTTCATAGCCTTTTGTAGACATTAGCATCACGAAAAGCTTGGGATTGTATTGAGCTAGAAAACAATGGACATTTGAAGAGTGACTATGACCAAAGATTTGTGAAAGGCTTACCATTCAAGTCAATCAACAATCGATAGACATCCGAATCACACTTAGATTATCAACCAATTAGAAAAACCATAAAAGACTAAACGCCATAAACCAAGTCAAGGTAGGAGATAACGAAGATCGACAGCAGCTAATCGAATTTAATGTTGACAAAATAAGCTGTTAGTCAGTTGTGGAGGACTTATGATAGATCTCACTTCTACATGAAGATTCTTTTGATAACCAGAAAGACAATGGAGGCTTCATGAATGAACCGTCTCACCAGAAGAAAACAATTTAACCGTTATTTAATGAGAATCGTACAACGCCACAAAATTTATGTTGAAACAAAAAGCTTCGAGTGTGGTGTAAGCAAAACACTGTACGAGTCCATTTGATAACTGACTGTTAGTTTGAGCCATGTTAGTAAACGAAGACTGTCTGCTTAAGGTCAGCGTAAATAAATCGGTTAATTGGTGCAGATGTTAGATGACATAGCTTAAAAAAACAGCATTAATCTTAATGTGGTTATATTTTACATTTTCATTATAAATGAGAACTCCCTTAAGTGAAAAAAGTTCATTTAAATGAACTGTATCTTATATCATACACCATGTTTGTTTACTTACTTCCTTGACTGTACTCTCATACATCCATCTCTTAGTTCTTCACAATATCATCTCTCTATTTGCATGATATATACTTTTTTGTGATGCCCAAAATTCATATGCAATAAATAAAGAACATTATTTGATATATTCAAGTGAATCTTACCATCGCCCCCAAATGCCCTGGTACGGCCGAGAGTAGGGAGAGTCCGCTCTCCCTCTTGAAATGCTCTCACATGGCCACGCGTATACAGCCTCTACCAGCGAAGTCCTACTCACTGCCTTCTCGTGGCATTACTGTTGTTTACGAAACAGAGAGGACGCTTTGACCGGATTCCAAACCAAATCATTGGTGCACATGGGCTCCAGTATCTTGTGGGAAAAAATGGCGTATGAACCATTCGTTGGTCACCGGACACCATGGGAATGCATCTCCTTACGATACCCCACTGCCTTGTGGGTCAGACCTTTAGGTCGAAGGCTCGGGGAGTGGCTCCCTAAGAACACCACCTGCTTTGGTTTGGGCACCCAGGCAGTATCACAACCCTCACACATATCGAATGAAATTTATGTGGTGCATAAGTATTTGGTGCCTCCTTGTACCAATATCTATGTGTTAAAATAAATATAAATAAATAAGAATCTTACCACCAACTTTTTTATTACTTCAAAAGTTAATGTCAACAACTTTAATATGGATATCAAAAGTGGGATCAACTCATATACAAGCACAAAACAACAAATTAAATCAATATAATGAATTATGAAAATAATCAACTCTTCTTTGAACCCAACACATACACACACAATAGAAAAAGCAACAACAGCAACAACGACAATACAACAGAAAGAAATCACTTCAAATAAATCAAAATAGTCATTTAGAGAAAACAAAATTGTCATGAATGATGAAAAGAGAAATGAACAACATAAATACTTACTATTATCACATACAAACACACACACACACCCATGTACAACTAGAACTGTAAGTAGTATTTACACTGTGTAGAGTATAAAACCAAATGGTATTTTGTCTCTCAGTCAAATACAATGTAAGAATGAAACAAAATTAACCAAATGAATCGCACATAAAACGAAAATAATAATAACTGAAACTACTGGAAATATTATTGCTTAGCAAGAGATAACATGAAAGACTAATTATAAAACACCTCACAATAAAGTCAAAATATAACAAATTAACAAGTTATGAAATGAAGCAACAACAAATAAACAAAGTAAAACATGACATCGACACAAACGATGTAAACAGTATGATTGTCATTGTCACAGGGATAGATAAATGGGTAGATAGGTTGGATAGATTTGTTCGGTATTTATTTACTCCGTTACAAAATGAAAATGACGAAATGAAAGATAATCCTTTAAAATATTTGGTAAATAAAGTTCTTTAACTGGTGACAATTTAGCAGAGCGTAATAAAGAAAAAATAGTCTGTCTTGAAATAGATTGTAATGATGGAACTTGATCTATAGAGAGGATAGAGAAATATAAACAACAGTTTATATTATGATTTAGTAGAAAAAGTAGCTATATGAATTGATTACAACAAGAAGTTGGAAAAATTAAGTACAGAATAACTTAGAACAGATTGTACACAATAATCCCATCAAACTTATGTTGTTAGTTAGACAAACATAAACATATATATTAATATCTGGCAGGAATGTACATTAGTTAAAGTAACCAAACTTCACACTAGCATAAATTTAGAGGCCAAATAAAGAATCGAAATGTATTTGTGCGACAACAGCCAGTCTTCAGATATGTCAAGCAAGATCTCAAACTATACATTGTAATTCTTTTGGGGAAGTCACAAGTAAGAAATCTTCACATTTTAATACAGCTAAGAAACAATCGATAATTTTGTGCACTAAGATTGTGTTTTACGGAAAACATCACTTTTCTATAAAGTTACTAAGCAACCCAATATAATGCTTCAAAAGTTAATGATTGTTAGTTATCATTGTTAACCCTCCTATATTTCAAGAAATCTCCTTCTGATATTTCAACTCACTCGATTTAATGATTGGCCATAAGCGTAAACTTTGGAACACCACTGTCGTGAAATTGTGTCACGTTAGACTGAAGTACAAGTACAGCTTTAGCAATCATTAGCAAGCAATACCTTGGAACATGATATTAACAGATAATTTAAGTTTTGGAGAAAGTATAGGTGCTTATGAAACTAGAAACGAAACTTGCTAATGCTTCAGCAATCTTACTGTGCTAATTTGAAGTGACAAATTGAACCGGTGCACATATGACAGGTTGCATATAGCTGACTGAATTGATAAAGATTAATGTAACTTAGTAACAAAGTACAGACTCATATTTTTAATGTGTGAGGAGGTTTGGTGATACTCCCCATTTCCTGAAATCAAAACCCATGGGAGCACATCCGAATCTGTGACCAAAGCACTGTTGCAAATGCCGACCAATGCTTATTTATCTGAACAAATAAAAATTGATACAAGGGGGGTCAAAATACATATACACCACACAATAAAAGTGAAACTGTGAAGAGATAGAGAAAGGAAAGTAAGTATAGTAAGAAACAACAATGAATAGGAATTAATTTATAAGAGTAAAACAATAGTAGTCATAATGGGAGAAGCAATTCATTTAAGAAAAATACAATCAGACCTCACTATTATGAAGAACGTAAAGGAAAATTACAGCAGAATTGTCACTGGCCAATGTGTTGTATCATCTCTAACTAGGACCACAACCCAGTCCTGTAAAGTTGTTAACGTACTACGACACTATGTCCTGTACTGGTCACCTCTCTGCTTTTCGCAACCAGTCGCAGCATCGGCAAATAATGTATGATGTGGAAGTCGCCGATATTCGTAACACATGTCCAAGCCAGCGAAGCTGCTGCTTCAAGATTGCAATACTAGTTGAATTGTCGTCGCTGTGACAGAACGCACGATGCCAAAACTGTGCATTACTAACACGATATTACCACTAAATGCCAGCAATCCATTGCAGACAACGATGACCAAACAGAGAGTCGTTTAATATCCTCAACTCGGAGAAGCCAGATTTCATAAGCATAGGGAAAAACCGCTCTCACCGACGCGTTGTAGACCCAACCTTTTACAGTCTGACTAACACCATGAAGCCGCCAAAGGTGGTCCACATTGGTATAAGGCGTTCTGGCTTTCACTATACATGAATCAATCACATCGCTCACGCCACCACCAACACTTACACGGCTACCCAGATACACAAACTTCTCAATCACTTCTATCTGCTTACTACCACGAGTGAGTGGAGGCCCATGATCCTGCCAGGTTGTAAAAGTACTTCGCATTTAGAAATTGAAAAGCACATGCCATACCTACGGACACTAATTGTCAGCTGAGTAATAGCGGATTGCATTGCTTTAGTATCATTGCACAGTAAGATAATGTCATCCGAATACTGTGGGTCGAAAGGTCGTTGGCTACGCAACAGATCGTGAGGATTAAATATGATTATTTAAAAACATTTAGCTTTCCTTCTCGGCACAAAAATCTCGACCTGGAAATGAATAAGAGGGGACGGGGTTATGAATGTGATGATCTATGGTTAACTAAGAAGCCTCGTAACCAGTAACATACGGTTTTTGCCAATACAATATGATATAATCAATTGAAAATTGTAAATCTCTCAGGAGCCGACATTAAATTCAATGAGCGCTAACAATGCAGTGACGTAGAAAGTAATATTATTCATTGTAAATTGCCAACCAACTCACTTTGTACAGATTTCAATAACTGATAAACTGGACTCGTGTTTGGCACATAATCAATTGGAGTACGATTCTCTTTATCTAGAGAAGTCGGAAATGCACCAAATTCTAACAGTAAATATGTTATGTCAACGTCATTCAATTTCGCTGCCATATGTAAGGGAGTTGTCAATCGTACTCCACAATTCGGATCTGCACCTAATAATTAGGAATTATAGTAAAAATTATACCATTATAAACAATGGACTTAAAGTACAAATGTAGTTAATGTTATATATATATATATATATATATATATATATATATATATATATATATATATATATATATATATATATATATATATATATGGATCCAAATCCCACCTCCATCATAACCTTGCCCCCAAATGTCCTGGTATGGGGGAGGGTGGGGAGAGTCAGCTCTCTCCCTCGAAATGCTCCCACATGGCCACGTGCATACAACCACTACCAGGGAAGTCCTACTCACTGCCTTATCTCAACCAGGGTAATGTTTACGAAATCGAGAGGACGGAAAATGAATGTCCGGAGCTTTACCCGGGTTGGTGGATGCGGAGGATTTACCTAGAAGAGTCGAAAAACCCTGATTTCAAACCAACCGTGTATATGGGCTCCAGAATCCTAAAAAAACAAATGGCGTATGAACCTATTGTTAGCCACCGACTACCACTGGACTGTATCTCCTTACGTTGCCCCACCACCTTGTAGATTAGACCTTTAGGTAAAGGCCCGGGGTGTGGCCCCCTAGGAGAACCACTTGCTTCGGTTTGGGCACCGAGGCAGTATTCCGGCCCCCACACAAACCGAATGACGAAGTGTGGCGCATATCTATTTGGTGCCTCCTTGTACCTATTTTTATGTTTAAATAATAAAATAATATGTATATATGTATGATGCCTGGAATCATTTGAATGTTGAAGCAAGAGAATTAGTTTCAACAATCATAGACAGTTCATTATTTGTGTGTGATGAGATCAATGCACGTATAGTGAAAGCCAGAGCGGCTTATGCCAATCTGGACCATCTTTGGTTCCTTCATGATGTTAGTCTGGCCGTAAAAGGTCGGATCTACAACGCGTCGGTGAGAGCAGTTCTGCTCTATGCTTGTGAAACCTGGCCTCTCCGAGTTTAAGACGTCAGACGACTCTGTGTTCGGTCTCCGGTGTCTCTGAAGGATTACTAACATCCAGTGGCAACACCATGTTAGTAATGCAGAGGTTCGGCATCGTGTTTTCGGGCAGAGAGACGATAATACAATTGGTGTCACCATCTTGAAACACCAACTTCAGTGGCTTGGACATGTTCTACGAATGTCGTCCCAGAGAATCCCACGTCGTGCATTATTTGCCGGCGCTGGGACTGGTTGGAGAAAGCAGATAGGTGGTCAGTATATGACATGGTGTCGCGGTATGAAAGGAAGCTGCAAAGGACTGGCTTCAGTTGGTCATTCATGACTCCCTGGCTGGGGTCCTAGAGATGGTGCTACACAGTGGCTAGAGACGTTATTAGATATGGATCAGAAAAGAAGCCAGTGGCGATCCTGCTGTAACCTTCTTTTACTTTCTTCGTTTAAATTGGTTGTATCTTCTTTAACTGAAAGATTTCTTCTGATTATATCTTTCTGTTCCACCACTATTACTTTTATTATTAGTACACTACGTTACACCAATCTCTTCGTTATTGTCTTTTTTACGTTCCTTACCATTTTCTTCTCCTCAAATTCTTATTGTTTTGTGTGGCGCATATACATTTGGCGCACTTTTGTACCAATATATGTGTTCAAATAAATGAATAAATAATAAATAATGATGCCCGGAACGACAATGGAAACTGCAGCTAAACCATTTCAGAGAACTCACCAACAATTAAAAAAAATTACTTGAGCTATAAACCTTTACCACGTAATAAAACAATGTCAAGGTATGTAAATTAAACATACCTTTAGAAAGTAGAAGGTAAACGCCAGCATAAAATCTCCTTTGGATAGCTATATGTAGTGGGCAAAGGCCATTGCGTTCAGGAGAATTTAAACTTGCACCAGCATCTATCAAAACTTTCATTGCATTTATAGATTCTATGAATACATACAGAGTGATGACAAAACTATAAGCTCACCATTCTGTGTGGCATAGATTAACGGAGAACCCCAATAAGATGGTGGATTAACATCAACTTTACTTCTTAATAAAAGAGAAATTATCTCAGCTGATCCGCTTAGAGCTGCATCGCAAATCGGAGTCTGTCCATCAATATTGGAGGCATTTGCATGAACGCCACTATCTAACAGAAGACGTACAGCTTTAACATTTCCTAATAAACAGGCATGATGAAGCAACGTATTATTGTCTGCATCACGAGAATGTATATTGAATGTTTGCAAAAGGTTTTGGAGGTCATCACTGTCACCTGACTTAAGGATTCTGATTGCATCAATCATTTGCTTATTTTCAATCCTACATAAGACATTAAATGTAAATGGATTAAGTATGAGGGCTGGGTGAAAACAGATTTCATGAGTCCTTCAGGACAAAAGTATATTAAACAAAAATTGGCCTGCGGAAAAGTAAAAATTTACGTTTACAAAGATGTGAATATCATAAGTGTTAAAAGTGAATTTATGTTAAACCAACTTATGATGAGATGTGTCCAAGAGTTGCGGACAAGCAAATAATGATCAGCTTCTTTATTACAATATAAACTGAATTTTAGTTAACAGATTAGTCAGGTTTGAATGATCAGTAAAAGGAAGTATGACCTAAGGTTAGTAAGATCATAGTAATTCGCAATCACCTCAGGATGAATGAATGCAGTTAAATCCAAACGCAATTGCAAAAGACCTTCACGTGGTACGACCTGAAGGAACATGCATTCCAGTCAGTATATGCCAGACGAATCATCCTGATGGGCAAGCCCGACTAACCGTAGCAGCTACAGTTGGGTTTATAAAGTATTGCAGTTGCAGCGAGATTAGTTTGAAGTTAAGTGCTCTAAAGCATCAAGTCATAACTACAAAAAGATTCACACCTGTTAAACTACTATGCATCTGGTTTGAAACAAATATATTGAACTTAAAAATAAAATCAGTTTTATAAGTAATACTCATTCTTGCATTTCCAAGTAACTTTACATGCTACATAGCAGAGCAGCAGACTTACAACATACATGAATACTCTTTTCCAATGCATCCATAACCACTATACGTTGGGGTAGACTTCAAGGTAAACATCGGAGACACTTCCATGTGGATATTTGCTTCAAAAACCAACGGGTACTCTAATTTACATGACTTTAAGAATTCATACTACACAGTTTTATATGGTAACCTTAATTGAATAAGCTTGTAAAGAATTATCAAATAGCTCCGAAATGTTGATAATGTAGGGCAGGTTATTAACGTAGACTGGTATAAATCCATTTTCTTCGCAAGCGCGGACATAAATCACACGAAGTCACGCGGTGTCAACTGAGTCCTTCCAAATAATTCGTGGCGACTATCTCAGCCTAACAAAATGCACTTTATCAAGGAAAGAAATCGACAAATTCAACAATAACACAAGCCTCAGATTTAGACAATCTTGAAATATAAAACAGAAATGGACGATTTAACTCGCTACAAAATAAAAGTCGGAAAAGAACATTTTCGGATTGCTAACAACATTTAAACAACGAAGAACTCGTCTTGCACTTCACTAACTCTCAGTAGCAGAAACATCAAGCTTTCCGCCTATGAAACAAATGGTTCAAGTCTTCAGTTTCAGTTTCACTTTGGGAGGGACAGGATGACTGATGGTCTGTGTTAGTCCTAGTAATGGTAGTCCCTCAGTTGAGTCAACTTTTTTTGAAAGAATCGACGGATGGAGCCGCAACCACGTGCTGAGGTAATCAGTTACACTCGTTAATGATTCGATGGGAAAGCCGATAGTCAGCTGACAAGTAATTTGTTCTTGTCTTTTTTGAGTAGGGGCTGGCCGCTTGTATGCAGTACTCAAATTTAGGACGTACGAACTCTGTATACAAAGTCAAAAACGTCTTAGCGTCGACATGACTAAAAGCTCTACGTATTGACCATAACGTTCTAAAATCTTTGGCGGCTATTACATGGCAGTGTGCAGTAGTCTTTAAGTCTTGACTAACGATAACTCCTAAGTCATTATATGTCTGGACGACAGGTAGCTCAGTGTTATTCATCGTGTATGTATCTGTACCTTGATGACCGATATGCATCACAACACACTTGAAAGTATTTATTGACAACTGACAGGTTTGAGACCATTCAGATAACTTCTTCAGGTCATTTTGAAGTTCTAAGCTATCACTCTTACATCGTATCGTTCTCCATATATTGACATCGTCAGCGTATAGCAAGACCGATGATGATGTGCCCTGGGGCACTCCACTAAGCACAGTTTCCCAGCTAGATAACTTTGAGTTCACCCGAACTCTTTGTTGACGTCCAACTAGGAAGTCTTTTATCCACATCAATAAATTGCCTCCAATCCCGACATTTCTTAACTTATATAACAGCCGGTTGTGCGGAACCTTGTCAAAAGCTTTGCTGAAATCAATGAAGGCTACGTCTACAGGTAACTTTTGGTGCTTAAGAGCGCAACAGCTTTCACGAGCCACAAATAAGTCAGTGAGACAAAAGTAACCTATTCTGAAACCGGGCTGTTTCTCCGAGATACTTAAACAGCTCCTTCCGAATAGTCTTTTCTAAGATTTTAACAACCACACAAGTTAGGCTAACGGGGCGGTAATTCTCGGGTTTGTATTTCGTACCTGTTTTGAAGACAGGACTTACTATGACGTTTTTCCAGTCTTTCGATAAACGACCCTGCGTAACGGATAGGTTGAAGCATGTACTTAAAGGGCTTGCAACGAAGTTAGATAATTCCTTCAGTAGCCTAGGATGTAATTCATTGGGCCTCGTGGATTTACCTATGTCAAGCTTATTTAACAGTCCAAAGACATCGAGTTCTTTAATGGTCACTCTATCCAGTGTATGTGTGGGGGGATCTGTATGCGCTGATGAGAAGGGTGCTTCTATGGTATATACATCGCTAAAGTAGTTTGAGAACACTTGAACTTTACCAAAGTCGTCCTCCACTAGTGCCGCGGCAGTACTGTCTCCCCATAGAGCAGGAATATTCCCTCTTCTTGTTATATCCGAGCGAAGATTAAATTACAGGTAACTCCCGAGGACTATTAGTGGACTAATATTCTATAAATATTCTTATTGTAAAACTATTCAATCATTAGATTATGTATATTTATATCCCTCTTATTATAAGCTTTATTTTGATCTATAATTTATTATTGTACGATTTACGGTTCTTAAACTATGTTCAGTCTATTAATTACTGTCCCCCTCGTTCACAGCCACTTTTTGGCTTATTTGTGTACATATGTTATTTCCTAATTTATGGTGTGTTGTGGTCTTTCTGTTTGATATATAAACCGAGTATGTTTGAAATAAACGATCTGCTCTGATCTGCTCTGATCTGCCCTAATTCGAAGCTGGTATTGTGTTCTGGACTCAAGTGGAAGGGCTCGTAGTACATAGGACCAATAAGGACGCTAGACTGCCCACATCGGTTGAACGTCATTGGTTGGCCTAGTGTGAATATTCGTATAAGTCGTATCCGGATTGGTAGATAGGTCGCGTGATTGCAAAACCAGACATACCCAAGGTCATAACAATTGGCGACGGGGGTTTTGAAAAAAAAAGCGATTCAAGGTCATAACAATTGGCGACGGGGATTTTGGCAACAAAAAAAAGTACAAGCGGTGACTCAGATTTTGGAAATAAATTAACTGTTATAGTTGCCGGTGATTTTTGGAGTTAATATTATTATTGGCAAAAAAAATGTCGATTTCTTCAGAACAGTTGCAGTTAATATTACAGCAGATGTTAGCCTTTCAACAACAACAGAACCAGCAGATGTTGGCCTTGCAACAACAGCTATTTGAAACAGTTTTGAGCAGAATTTGCATTCAAGCAGAAAATAAGAAATCTAATTATCATGCAGATAATGGTGCAGTAATGGACATTTCAGAAGCATATCCTGTGCAGAATTCAAATCCCCTTATACCAGAAGGAGAACGTAATATTAGTAACGTGTCCAGCTCAGAGCAAGAAAATATTGTGCTAAATGCACATGAAGTTGTGACGATACCAAATGATCAAGAGCCAGACCCTGTAGATGAAGCCCGGAGTCCAGAATTGAATGAAGCACTACTGGTCCTGTCTAATTCTGAAAATGAATTTCAGCTAGAACAAAATTATGGTCCACGTGATATTAGCCGAGAAAGCTATGGGGACTCGTATTCAGAAAATAACTGCAGTGACACGATGAACCCAATTATACCGAATGTTACTCAAAATCATTGTGAGACAGAAATTTATATTGAAGCAGCTTATCCGATATCTAATGACAAGGTAGCAGATATGGGTTCTCAGAATAATGCATGTAATTTTGATGAAATTTTTTATAAAAATGAGAAAAAAATATCGGCTGAGTCAAATTATGGTCAAAAGTCTAATGTAATTTTGTTAGATGATGATTTCCGTAATGATCCATTATCCATTGATGAAATTCCTAATGGATTTTAAAGTAATGCTTCAGAAGAATTAAACTTTGACCTCAAATCAAAGGTTGTTCACTATCATCTAGTCGTTTCTAGTGGATCCGACATTCAATGCGAGAAACGTCGTTTAAATAATGTCCTATTATTTGTAACTTGGAGATATAAGGACCCAACATTATTTCGAGGAGGAGGAGAATGTTGGAGAATTCAAAGTTACAAAAAAAATTCTTTTTTTTTAAATCCGAATCTAAACTTGGAATCTTCGAAAAAAAAGGGGAGGTGTTATATCCGAGCGAAGATTAAATTACAGGTAACTCCCGAGGACTATTAGTGGACTAATATTCTATAAATATTCTTATTGTAAAACTATTCAATCATTAGATTATGTATATTTATATCCCTCTTATTATAAGCTTTATTTTGATCTATAATTTATGATTGTACGACTTACGGTTCTTAAACTATGTTCAGTCTATTAATTACTGTCCCCCTCGTTCACAGCCACTTTTTGGCTTATTTGTGTACATATGTTATTTCCTAATTTATGGTGTGTTGTGGTCTTTCTGTTTGATATATAAACCGAGTATGTTTGAAATAAACGATCTGCTCTGATCTGCTCTGATCTGCCCTAATTCGAAGCTGGTATTGTGTTCTGGACTCAAGTGGAAGGGCTCGTAGTACATAGGACCAATAAGGACGCTAGACTGCCCACATCGGTTGAACGTCATTGGTTGGCCTAGTGTGAATATTCGTATAAGTCGTATCCGGATTGGTAGATAGGTCGCGTGATTGCAAAACCAGACATACCCAAGGTCATAACACTTCTCTTTGTCCTTTGGTTTATATAAGAATACAAGCGTTTAGGACATTCTGTGGATTCCTTAACAATCTTTTCTTCGTACAACTTTCTAAACTTACGGAGGGTCGAGGCACATGTATTCCGGAATTTTCTATACTGGGATTTAGTTTCATCAGTCCCTAGCAACCTAAATCTATTCCACATTTTTCTTCACTTACAGAGAAGTATGCCGACCTCCCTACTGAACCATGGTGGGGAGTTTTTCGGCCCCTTTGGTATAGTCCAAGGGATGTGAGGTGTGGTAACTTTTAAGTACGAATTTCGAAATTCGTCCCAGGCAGTTTCAATTGAGGACTTTGGGTCCATTGTCCAATCTATTAACGATGCTGAGTGCACATATCTGATATATTTGCTTTCCAGACGGTAGGTCTGGATTGGACTGACGCATGCTCGTGACTGGCAGTTAAATGGAAGTCGAGAATTAAAACTGAGCTATAACTTTTACCTAGGGGTGGCATTTAATGGAGGTTCGTGCTTCAGTTGTAGGGATAGTAGGTTGCTGGATTTGTTTTCCAGTGAAGGTTCAGCTTCTTGAAGATGTCCGCTGAATGGGCTGATACCATTTGTTCGGTCAAGGCGTCCCAGTCATTAACCACTCAATGAGAATAAAGGAACACCACTTCAAGGTTATTAGACAGCGGTTTTCGAACCTTCTTTTATGTTCCCGGAGGTTATTAGTGATGGAGGGGACAGAAAGATACCACCAAATCGTAATTAAAAATGCGGAATGCCAATATAAGGTCACCTTGCTTTCTACGACACAATATTGGGAAATGATTTAGGCTTTTTAGGCAGTCATCGTAAGATAATTTCGAAGGACCTTTTACTGATTTTGTTTTCACGCTCTGAACACGCTCGAGTGAATAAGTATCCATAAAAAGACATGGACCAGGTGCCATGATGCAGCACTCAGGTTGGTACTTAATATGTCGTTGAAACAGGAGCGTAAATTCCAGTACATAAGATTGTAAAAAATGTAATGATTAATCATGAATAGCAAATACAAGCCATTCTCATATGGATGACTAATAATTTAGAACATGGATATTACCTAATTAAGGTTATTAAATGGATAAGGACAGTGAACATTTTTGTTAAAATATACATGCATATAAATAAGCTTGTATGCTGATGTTGTGCTTTGTGTTCACAGTTGTTATAATCTGTCTATAAATTGTGGATTGTACGAAGCGTAACTTTGGCGAAACCCCATCTATCCCAATTTTTACCTTTCAGTGTTACGAACGTAACACTGAAAAAAAGTAAAGATGCCACAGTCATTAGGAGTTT